CACACACACACACCTTCTTTGTTCCCTCCCCTCCACTGTGGATTAAACAACATCATAAAAAAATGACCATCAGCTCTCACGCACTGCAAACAGATTATTCCCGGCGCCTTTTTTTTTTTTTTTTTTTTTGCGCTCACTCCCTCCCGCTCCCTCTTTACGCGCCCGGGCATCGTTTCCCCGCACCTCTCTGCACCAGTTCCGGTCATTGTAAACACTGACAGGCGTGTGATGTCGTGGCAGCGGCTTGGAGAGACTCCTGGGAGGCTGATGATGGACATGTGTAACCAGATAAGGAGCTGAAAAGGGAGCACATTTGGAACAGTGTGTACATATTTACTGAAGGATGCAGCTTTGTAAACTTCACACAAGCACATATTTTTTTAAAATAATATCAGCAGAATCTACAAACACATAGTTTTGACCCTTGTTTTACCTGTTGCTGCGTTCCTCTTCTTAACTGATGAAGGATGTGACCCTGTAGGCACTTCAAAAAAAAAAAAGTAATCACACCCTTTCAGAAAAAAAGTTAAACATTAAAAGCATAAAAGTATTATTTCTAAGAAGACAAGCAGTACACATTCATGCAAAAGCTTAATCAGTTTGAATGTAATATTTTTGAGCTCTAAATTAATTTCTTATTTTTTTTTACAAGATTTTCTTATGATCTGGATTTTTATGTTTAAAATTATCAAGTTTACGGGTTCTAAGTAAGCCATATTTTAAACTGTAAAATAAACATAAACTTAGTAGCTGAGACTCTGTTGACCAGCTCCTAAAACTCTATTTTCTCTCATTTTGTGCATTTGCTGGTAAACTTTTCAACTTGCTGAAAAGCATCCGTCTTGTTTGAGCTGAACATGTCAGCATTATTGTCATTAGTCCATTGCTGCACTTTAATCAGGTACTGGAGATCTTTTAGCCCTGTCCTCAAACATTTAGCATGCTGCCACCTCATCAAACGTTTGATATCATTATATTGTATCACTTGATGGGATCGACACAACAGTGCCAGGAAAGAATGCAAAAACTCAGATTTTAAGTTCAAAAGTGAAGAAAATTGAAGAAAAGTTTATATTAGTAAAACACACAGAGTCCAGAGTTTAAATTACTTTATTTTTCCACTTCGAAACAAGTTCAGGAGGGCAAAAATCATAAATAAATACAAGCACAAAACTCAGTCTGACACACACAAATTGTTTTTTTTTCTTCCTCTGATGCACAATTTGCAAGCACATGCCCACAAATGTTGTTGCACTTCAGCGGTCACTTTCCTGGCCCCTGAAACAGGCAGTGTGTTCATCAGCTCCTGCCAGTGAATTTCATGCCCTACCGATGAGAATAATCTCCTTCAAAGTGAGGCAGGCTGAGTGGAGGTTCTCTTTGAAAGGCTGCAAATTAAAAGCCTCAACACACAGGTCACTTTAAAAACAACTCAAATATTCACTTTCTTAAATTTTTACACATTTCTCTTGGTTTGAACTGGTTTTTATTTTGTGTAGTTTTGCTGTTTAATATATGAAACATGCTTTTTTTTCAGTCTTTCGATTATTTACTTTCATTTACTTTCATTTGATAAAATTGGACAAACATCTGTTGGCATGAAAATGTGAGATTGTTTTGATGAGTCACTTAATTTAAGTTAAACGTAAAGTTTACAAAATCCAAAATGTGAGCTGAAATTATATTTCACAGATCCTTGACTATAAATGATGTTTTTTGAGCATCACATGATAAAATCTGTCAAAATTCACACAAGTAAAGAAGCTTGACTTATTATCAACCAAACTGCTAAAGTTAGTGCACTAAAATGTTTTCAGTTATTTTTGGTATGGAAGGATATTTTAGTTTAAAATTGAAGCTATTTTAATAATTCCCTTTTGTTTGTTGCCTGAAGTTGCAAACTAAGTTAAGAGATGTTTTCAGAAATCTTTTAGTAAAAGTTAAAAGATGAAGTCAGACAGTTTGCTTCTCATGTCTCATTTGGACTAATGGAATCATTTTCCGTGTGCATCTCCTCCTGAGAAGCAGTGGAATTGGCAGCGCATGCGAAACCTGGAAATTATAAAAGGAAGCCTTTAGTCCGATGGAGCCGTGAGGGAATATAACAAGAAAGGGGGAGGAAGCGAGAGCAAACAGAAAACGGTGATTTCCAAAATGGCCCGGGCCATTGACTGACAATAGCCAGACCTTCTCTGCCCGTCTCTTTTTCTGTCACTCGCACAGAAAATGACTACAAAAAAAATAGAGAAGCCTTAACATAATTAAAGGGGCAAAGAAAAACACCAAATGTGATTTATTTGAATTTGAACAAATTATTTGTGATTTAAATTTGGCAGAAGAGATATTGCTGATAACTGAATTTCCTGTCCAGCTGGGCGAGATTTGTGTCTCCTTTTGATTTAATCTCAGACAGAAACAGTGGTCACAGATTCACTAATAATTTGCAAACACGGCGTGTAGCAGTGGTTTTCATAGTGAGGATGTTTAACATGTTTATTAGTGAAACTAATGTCTATTGAGGGAATTGACATTGTGGTGATATTTAGGAGAATTTTTTGCATTAAAACAAACACTTCAAGTTCAATTTGAAGATTTATTAATCCTAAAATCTTATGTAATGGTCTAGTTTGGCATTAAAAGTAGAGGTTTGATTTTTTTAAAGCATTCAACAACCAAGACAGTAACTGCTCCAATTTCTATAACTTACCTTTTCACATTCAGTATCAATTGTTTATCTTTGCCGTGCTTCGAAATCTCTTCATCCTGCATATATGTTTGGTAGAGTCAGTCAGCAGTCTTACTCCTATTGGTCCAGCAACAGAAGATTTTTTTCAATAAATAATTCACCACTGATAGCCAGACCTAATGCCTACATGAACAAATCTCTCAGTTACAGCCATCTTGGGAGTAAGCCAGTCCAAGAGCATACTTAATAAACACATACAGAGCCCAGCAAGCTCTGGTTTCACTGATGTCTTTCTGAGGGAAAACGATTTGAAGACAGTTGGTGAAACAGCATCCTTTCTGTGGGTAAAGGTTTCGGGGTCAGGTTTGGTTTTTGCTATAAGAGCAAATCATCTTTTTTTTGCCTTCTTACTATTGATAGATTTACTGTCTGTTTTAAACAAACTGTACTGTAAGTGTTTTGTTTTAGATAGATTTGACGTTTGCATCCTGAAATTTTATGCTCTTACATCATGACAATGGACCCAGACACCCGATACACACAATAGCCAAATCAACAAATGAATTTATGTGTGGACACATGTATGCCTTCTGTATCTGAGCCACGGTCTGTTCAAACATGTTTTCTTTTGTGTCCTCATTTATGACCAGGATTGAGTCAGCTTTACATCGACCACATGTTTGCCGAGACTTGAAACACAAACCAGACATAATTTCCTCAACCTGACCTTTTGGCTGCAGTGGACATGTGTGAGTGTGCTTGTTACTATGCAACATCTTTCATGTTTTTTTCTGCACTTTATCATATTACATTCTTTCTCATGAAAAAAATGTGATTATTATTGTAGTTTATTTTAGTTAATCTGGGCAGCAAACTTTTAGTGCTTCATTTGTGCATCCTTGCATGGAACTTTTTGCACAATTATTTTTGTATGTTTAAAGGACGTATTTATATCTGAGTGACTCGTTGTTATTATTTAGTGCATCTGCTGCAAGACTCCCCTGCATGAAATATTCAAAGTCCATGTGAAAATGGATCTGCTGATCTGAAGCCTCTGCCTTTCTCTGACCAGATCCCGGTGGAGCTGCCACGAAGAAGGATCCTGATATTGCATATCAGCTAAATGACCAAGTTATGGTCTAAGCTCAGGTCACTGGGATACAGCCGGGGTTGCGATGGACCAAACCTGCACCACTGATTACACCCTTTAACTGGACAACCACACGGATGATCTGACTACTGCCTTGGCGTTCATGCTAACAGAGCAAGGTAATTACAGTCTTTCAAATGATCGTGATTTAAGTATTTTATTTATAGTTAGGTATAGAGCAGTTTGATCAAGTTTAAAAGTGTAATCAAAACCTTGAGGAAAAACAAAAACAGGTAAAAAAAAAAAACAAACCCTTTGATACTGCTAAAATGGACGGCTACAGTTTGTCAACAGAGTATTCACGTTCTTTACTAATGTACTGTATAAGAATACATACTATGGTTTAAAGAAACATTTTTGGAAGTTGAAGTATCAACTCAAGCATTTTACTTAAGTAAAACAGTAAAAGTACTGTTAAAACTACTTAAAGTATAAAAGGAAAAACAATGTAATGCAAAAAACAACCACTAAGGATAAAAGTTTAGGCCATGCCATAGATTATAATGCACAACCCTACGCCACACCCCCAAAAAATATTCTAAAAACAATAATGACTTTAAAATATAGTTAAATGTTAGTGTTGAAAAACTGGAACACACTAGGCTTTGTGTCCTGCTGAAGTGTGACGTGATTTGTGTCATACAGGTGTGGTGGATCGTACAAACCAATAAGATGTCAGAATCTTCCAAAGACACTTAATCCAGGAGGCACAATGTATCTGAATAGTTTAGTTTTCTTTCTTATTCTGAATGATGACAAGCCGGAAGTGAAATACAAAAGAAATCCTTTTCACATTTTTTAAATGTAAGGAGTAGAAAGAACAGATAATTGCATACAAATGTCAGGAGTAGAAGTAAAAAGTTGGCTCCAAACAGTCACTTCATTAAAGTATAAATAGCCAAAAATTCTAACTAAACTTAACACCTTTGGCCATCAGTGTCCCCAATCATAGGTCAGCATTTCACACAATCTATGAGAGAAACAGAGCTGCCACTCAAACCCCCCAATTAAAACAAGAAAATGAAAAACAACAAACGGGAAGCATTATCAGCGTGCCTGAACTGTCACACTGTGCTGTATCCAAGAAACCTTAAATGTCCACAACACTCCACCTCATCTCTTTTCGAGCAGCGCAGCGCTGCAGCCGGACTAAATGAAAAACAATTTGAGGAAACAGGGAACAATCTTAGACAGGCTCCAGCGGGCTGCCATAAAGAGAGGGGCTGCCTCTCCAGCTTTTCCCCTCAAGCCTTCAGTCTAAACTCTATGGGCTGATGAAAGATCAATGGGACGACTGGGCAGCCGCTTCTGTGGCTGCTGTCTGCCACTGCACCAGGAAGTGAGCCAATTACAAAACGCTTGGAAAGAAAAAAAAAAAAGAAAGGAAGAAGGAATGACAAAACTGTAAGTCTTTGTGAATTCGAGCTGAGTGATTGGAAAAAAATGTTTTTTTGTTTTCTTGTTATCACAGCTTTGCTTGCTTGGAAAAATCTGTTTTTTAAAACTTATTTTAACCTCCTATCTGTGCCTTACCATCCTTACCTCACTCTCTTTCACGCCCCTGGTCTCCAGCAGCCTCCCCCTTCCAGATCTTCCAGCTTTCTGGATCTGCAGTAGCAGTAATGGGTGTGTGTGTGTGTGTGGGGGGGGGGGGGGGGGGGGGGGGGGCTGGTGCAAACACATAGCAGCAGACAAACAAATCATGCTAAGACTTTGCTGCCATCCGGGCTGCCAGCAGCACACTTTGAAGGGGAGTCGGTGCCCTGCCAGAGAGATGGTTGTGCCCATTTTCCCAGGGAGGGGGTGAGGCCTAGGGTGAACACGAGGGGAGGGCAGCGTGGAGGCGAGGTCTGGTCCTTATCCGGATCACAGACACCTCCGCCCCTCCTGGCAGGAATGCATAAAGCCCCCGGTGGGAGGAGAGAGAGGCAGAAGAAAGAAAAGAGGAGGAGGAAACATGCAGACATAAAGAGGAGAAGTAAAAAAAAAAGGTAAAGAAAAAGCTGGTGAAGGAAAGTGAGGGAGAGGATGAAGTAGGGAGATGGACAGAGAGGGGGTTAAAGCCTGCTTAGCTGAGGAGAGGGCGTGTTTCTGTGTTTAGAGACGAAAACACACCAATCACAGCACTCTTGCTGCAGCTGAGAGTACCTCTGAGAGGGCGCAAAGGAAAACAAACACGAAATTTGAGTTCTTAAATCCCATTCTAACCGTGCAACTGGTTATTATTACCTCAAGCCAGCTGCAGCCTAATGTGATGTGTCACTGGTGACAGCTGATGAGTGTGGTAGGAAAGGGGTGCTAAACATGAAAATGTTAGATATTTATTAAACGTTGCTGTCTATTTTTACACGTTTATTTAGAGAAGAAAAAAAAAGAGATAATCCTGGTGGTAACTCTGTAAAATAAGCAGATGTAATTTCAAACTGTCAGCACTTCACTTTGGAAGCTTCAGTATAAATCCAGGAAACCAGAAGGATAAAATGTTTACTACAAATCCTCGGCACTCGGTTGGTGGTTTGTGTATTTTCTGTATTGCCTTTCCTGGGAAAGAAATTTATATGTATATATATTTAGAGGTTGTAAAGATCTTAACATGGACTTCCTGGATGTTGGCTGGAAGCACTTTGAGGTTGTGTCGGGGGCAAAGTGAAGATTTTGTCAGGTGGAGATTTGGATTTAGGGGTTCATTTACAGTTCATGCAAGCACATTCCGTGCGATCTTTACGCTTTCACTCACCCCAGGTCCTCTTCAGTCCTCCTTCACCTATACTGTGCATTTCTAAATCTTACTGTTTTTTTTTTGGAAAGCTATCCCGCAATTAGCCTTTCGGTTAAAAAACGGGAAGGCCCTGGATGGGCGTAATCTGCCTGCTGCCCAGCAGTCATTTTGCCATGACAGTTATGAGTCATGCAACAATTTAAATACTGTAACTGACTCCTCATTTAACTAACATGCCCTTAAACTTGATTGCTGCATTACAGCAGCTCGGTAATCCCCCTTTTGACAATTTGATAGGACACAAAGGAGGCAAACATTTTTTGCACAGGTGTCAACACATGTTTCAAAGTCATGTGTTATATATTATTATAGAGATAAACAGAAAAAATATTAGAAACTTTGCATAAACTTGTGCTTAAATATTTGCTGTTTTACTTTGTGGTGTGTTATTTTGGATTTTGTACATATTTTTGATTAAAAGAGACTGAAATTAAAAGTGATGTAAAATCATTTTTTCACTAAAATGCAGCCCATTTTCCCCCCTGAAATGGATTTTTTCCCCATCAAATAACATAATGAATTTTAAATCAGCATAATTAATGTCCATGAAAATGGCATTATGGTTTAATAGGCAGCCAGAGGAAGTTAAACATTAACCTTGAACATCACTTCAATATTCCACCATGAGTACATTTTAGACTGAAAGTACAGCAATAGAGAGACTTTCTGCCTGAACTGTGTGGGAATACATTTAGCAGTGCACATTCTCTGCATAAAGATAATTTGAAATTGCTGAAAGACATGATTCTTTTTGCAACTAGAATGTGACATGACATTCATAGATTTTTTTTGAATATTTTAATCTGAATTAGAGAGAATAAAAGTGTATTATTTTAAATGAAACAAAGCAACTTGTATTTTTTACTTAAATGTAATACAAAAATGTTATGAGAAAATATTTAAACTCAAGTAATTTTTCCAGCCCCAAATTATTTTAATCTTCCCACATTTTGCTGAAACACTTAGCTGAAGATGTAACCTTTTAGTAGAATGGTTTCCCCTCTCAGGCATTTGTTTCCTTTCACCATCTGAAGCAAAGGCTCTCAGCCCAGTTCCATGTGTTTTTTAGGCCAAAGCTAAATTATTGCCTGCACATGGAACCAGGGTGAGCGTGTGTATGAGCCACAGCCTATCAAGCAGCATCCCGTTGACTATGAGCACCCCTGAGATGGATCTCCACCTTCATTAATGCAGGCCCACGGCAAGCACAGGTCTCCACATGTTAACATGTGTTGCAAACATCTGGCTTATCAGAAATGTTTTTTTTCTTCTGACTTTTTTTTGGATGGTGGGGTGTATATTATGTATTTTTCAGGCAAATACTTCAATTCAGTTCCACAACCAAGTGTTGCTGGTGGGGTCATGTGGCGCCGGTGCATGGCAGCTTCGCTTCTGTCAGTGTGCCCCAGGGCAGCTGTGGCTACAGTTTACCATCATCAGTGTGTGAATGTGTGTATGAACGGGTGAATGTCTGTAAGTGTAAAGTGCTTTGGGGTCCGGAGGGACTTGATAAAGCGCTCTATATGTTCAGTCCATTTACCATTTACCATTTACTATGTTACCTTCAGTTGTTCTGAATCAAAAATAAATTTGACTTCACATCATAGCCTAAACACCTTGAAATTGAACTATCTCTTTAAGAACCTCTTACTGTTTCTGACCCTCCCATTTCAGAACATCTTCACAAAAATGCATCAGGGGAGGGCTGCTCTGTGGGGTGAGATCTCAGCTCCGCAGGAGCTTCAGGGAGGGGCTTTGTATAAATAGGCAGTGCTTTGTAGCAACAAGCGTTTAGGCAGGTCCACATGTCTACCACATGAGATTCAATGATTTCTCAAACATGCATAAATGAGTCAAAGCAACACTCTGAGTATGTTTTTGATGAGGGAATGACATTACACTATGTTAAAGTACTGTAAATTTTGTATAATACCCACTCTTTAAAGGGGACAGCTCACATTTTGCTTTAGTAGATAAAAGGAAGTAAAGCTGATGTTGTGGCGAGGAACTTCAAAGCAGAGGGTATAATCTGGTGAATGGCAGGGATTTGTCAATAGTCCCACTGGGTGTGGGGGGGGGGGGGGGGATTTTCTGAGGTGCTGAAAGTAGCATTTTGTGGAGTTTGCCACATCCGAAGATCCTTTTTGATCAAACTTTTTTATGGCACAAAGGATGATAGCATTATTAACGTACAAAGTTTTGAAATTTCTATGAAGAAGTCACAAAATCTCCTGCCTAATCAAATCTTCAGGTTTAAAATGCTTGCAAAATGTGAGCGAGATAAAGTCTCAAAAATTGCGTTAAACATTTATGACTCAAATCTTTGCCATTAATTTGTTG